AGCCCCAGGATCTCAATGTTCTATGAAATATTCCCTCTGATGTGGGCAGAGGCACAAACACATTTGAGTTTGTGAAGATTTGTGCTCAAATGTTCAGTTCCTTGATTTTTAAAATTAAAAAATATCTTAGGTACCCGTATGCTGTATTTTTGGCCCTTATTTTTTTAAGGGGGTGTGGAAGCCTTTCCCATGCAGATAGGCATCTTGTGAGAGTTATAAACCACTTCAGTTACTGTTTCCCCTCCTGGTTTATATGTCTGGTTTTGGTTTGCATATTTTGGAGTTGCGGTTTTCATTTTATGGGCAGCAGGAAAAGAGTTCTCAGTAGCAGTATTTTAATAGGTTTACAAACACATGGGCCCAGCAGCATTTAATATGAGAAACACTAGAAGAAAGAAATATGAAATATAGAAGAACTACAGAAGTGTCTTAGCTGTATGTTCATTTTTTTACTTATACCCCAAAGTTCAGTAACACAAAAAATAACATTTTTACTAATACAAACCTACAATAGCAAATCAAAACATCATCTGGTAATACAGAGATACTTCATACATTAAATCATTTAATCATACATTAAATGTGATATACAGCACCTGGTTTGAAGCTGCTTTTTTTTCAGACAAGTGGAGTTAGAAACTCTCTGAAAACTGATAACAAAATTTATGTATAGATTGTTTAAGCGGCTCTGTATACAGTAATACAACTGTATTTCTTCTGGGTTTCCGTGCTATAGTTGGAAACCAAACCAAATTGTCTGTATATGGCAACTTTTTTAGCTCCTTTTTTAGCACACTCCAGGCCCAGCTATTCTTTCAGTCAATGTGAATTGACACTAAAGGACAGCTCATAAATGTTCAAAGTTAAAAACTTACCTTCTGTATACTGCAGTGCTCCAAAACTGGCTTCTGACACCATCCGCAGTACTGCTCGTGACAAGTTTTGCGACGTGAGCTGCGTGTTTTGGTTTAGTACATTTGGTATGTTCAGTTGATCCACTAAACTTCCTTTTTTTTTTAAGTCATTCTTTCACTTTTTAAAAAGTCTTATCTCCTGACCACTCCCCCAGCGTTTCTTCTCGTGCAAGCACAGTTTCAGAGGCTGCCTTGCTCGCTGGGTGTTGTGCGGTGTGGGGTTCAGGCCTCTCTCCCTGTGGGTGCGTGTAGGTCGGGACTGCAGGGACAGGTCGAGGCCGAGTGTGCCCAGGGTGCCCATTTAAATAGTGCCCAAAGTTTCAGGTACTTGTTCTCCACTGGTTGTTTTTCTTTCTTAGCTGTTATGCTGTCTGGTAGAGGAAAGGGTTAATGTCAGGTATTACCCTTGCTGGAGATTAAATGTCCTGCTAATGGGCTCTTCCTCCTGCACTGGAGGCCTGGGTGAGGAGCCGAAGAGACACTGTCCCAGGGCTGCCCTCTGGGCCCCACATCCAGGCACTGCTGCCCATCCTGCTTCTTCCCTAGTAATTGCAATTCCCCATTAACTGCAGTTAACATTTTTTTCAGTAATGAGGAAGTCTTCCCAGTTGGGATAATTAGTGAAGTTTGTCCATGTGGATGTTGTTTCCAGCTGTGGTATAAAACCCAGTGCTGGAGACAAAGACTCCTTAGAACATTTCACATGTGAAGTTTGCATTCTTTACTTACGCCTTGTTTTTAAAACCCCTGAAGAAAGCCAGTTAAGACGTAGCTTTTCCTAGCCTGGCACGTTTCTTCATCCTTTGTCTTAATTATATCAAAATATGATCTCTAAATTTAATCTTTTCTCTGTTTACCAATGCCATTTTTCAAAAAGTTGTGTGTTGTTTCACATTACCAAATGCAGAGTTTTTAATTTAGATAAATTTTCTCATTTTCCCTCAATTAATTCTCCTTACCGCTGCTGCAGTTCAGTATCACAGGACCCAGGGAGGGAGAGCAGCGTTATGAAGCACTGCTGCAGTTTGCTTTGGAGGCACCTGATGCCCCAGCGAGTGAACACGTGGCACTTACCCAGCTGCTCACAATTCCAGTCCTAGAAGCGATTTGGAAACTTGAGACTTTATTTGCAGAAAAACTAGAGTGAAGTGGATGTATCAGGTGTATTTTCCGGTAGATGCTCCTTATAAAAAATGAGTTTGAAAATGTGCACAAAGTGGTGAACAAACCAGGGTTTTCTAATCCCATGAGTTATGTTCGGCAACATTTCTGCGAAGTAGTTTTTGGCCACTCTCTTTTTTTCCTTTTGGTCCTCAGTAGCGCCTGTTCTAAGGTGAAGCAAATGATATACAGCAACGTTCAGCCTTCAAATTCCAACTTACTGTGGGACCCCGAGTTCATGCTGGATTTTATTGAGAATCCTTCTGCTCACAGCATCAACTACTCGATGCTGGGCAAGATCCTGAGTGACAACGCAGCCAACCGCTACAGCTTTGTCTGCAACGCGCTGATGAACGTGTGCATGGGGCACCAGGACGCGGGAAGGTCAGCACTTTCACCTGGCTCCAGGGAGACCTCCTGGTGGCCTTTCAGTACTTCAAGGGGCCTGTTAGAGAGATGAGGACAGACATTTTAGCAGGGCCAGTTGCAACAGGACATGGGGTAATGGCTTTAAACTAAAAGAGGGATGTTTAGGCTAGTTGGAAAGAAATTGTTTTTTACAGTGAGGGTGGTGAGACCCTGGCCTAGGATACCCAGAAAGGTGGTTGATGCCCCAGCCTTGGCAACATTCCAGCTGCGGTTGGATGGGGCTCTGAGGAACCTGCTCTAGTTGCAGATGTCCCTGCCCATGGCAGGGGAGTTGGAACTAGGTGATCTTTAAAGGTCTTTTTGAACCCAAAGCATCCTGTGGTTCTGTGAAATGTGGGGCATTCTTGGCAAAGCAGAGCAGCTGAGAGGAAGCAGTTTTGTAAGAGCAACAAAGGGGAACATCTAAACGTGGCCAAACGAGTTTCGCTGTGGAACAGAGGAAAAATAAACTTGCACTGAGATGAATCAACTCTGCTCTGCTTTTTAGAATGTTACATAACTCTGAATCATACACCAAATCACACATAAGACATTGAGATCTATGAAGTAAAAGTCATTAATGCCAGTTGGACTTGTGGCTCTGCCCCATCCTGAGCAGCAGTGCTGGCCTGGCCAGGGTGAGAGGGGTCCTGCACCGAGGTGTCACCAGTGACCTGGGGGAACCACACACAGGACTTTCATGGGATGTTTTTGTGAGGGGGAGGATGGAGCCACTGTTGGCAGCAGCGCTGGGGAGGCCCCACGGAGAGGGGCAGGTGGACCCTCGTGGTGGGCTGAAGCTGGGGCTGGGCTGTTCCACCTGTCCCTTGTCGTGGGCAGCTCAGCACAGGGAGGGCAGCTCGTAGGAACTCAGCGTGTACAGAGTAGGATTTACACAAAGTAAAGGCCCTGTGCTGCTCTGGGTTGGGCAGATGCAAGTTACGGGGTACAAGTCACATACTGTTTTTTTCCCCAGATGCTCCAGGTTGTTCACAAGTGAGTAACACTCAGTTATGTGTACAGTAGCAGCATCACATTTAGGCATAAACCCCCACCTCGAGAAAGGAGACACCAGTTCTCCTGCCAAGCACTGATCTGCTTTGACCTAAGTATTTGTGGCTTACAGAATACCTTGCTTCTGTATTAGTTTACCTCTTCTTTCCTAGGATTAATGACCTAGCAAACCTCTGCGCTGAGCTGACGGCGTGCTGCACAGTGCTGAGCTCAGAGTGGTTAGGGGTTGTAAAGGCTCTTTGCTGCTCTTCAAATCATGTCTGGGGTTTCAATGACCTGCTCTGCAGTGTGGATGTAAGTTCAATGTCTTCTAAAGTGTCTGTTAACCCTGTCCACCAGGGGGGTGCTTAGAGGTGTAGGGAGGTTTCCGTTCAATACAAAATGCGGAGCACAAATGTGGAAGACCAAATGTATCCACTTGAGTTTTCTAGGCTTTTTTCAATGAGATGCATGATGGATTTTTATTCTTTCCTACAACTTCAGAGTTAATGTAGAATTTAGGCAATGCTTAAGAGTTTTCTCTATTTTTTTTTTTTTCTCTTTGTTAAGGAACAATGATGAATATCAGAGATACTCTTTGAAAGGAGCAGCTGGGTCCATATGCCTTTTGTAAAATGCTGATGGATGTGCAAATAACTATCTCCATTTTAAAGAGCCTGTTTTGGTGTTGACTCTTAGATCGTAGAAGGGTTGGCATGCTTTGCAGTTCCTTACTCACCTGGTGAAAGTTACCACAGTGCTGTTAAAATCAGCAGGGTTATGGCGACTAATGTTATCCAGTATCTGTTTCAGCATATTTATCTCTGGTTGGATTACATATGCCTTTAGAACAGATTGGAGCTGAGTACTCTGGGGACATGTTCTTGTCCTGAAGCTAAGGAATGAGTATTGATGTTACCAGTTTTTATAGAATGATAACATTTTTCTCAAGTTTTTATGAGGCTAATGTTTTGTATTTCAGAATTTGTGGTATTTGAAATAGGTATTTGTTAAAATTAAGAGGCATCAGTATTTGCCATAAAATGCTGGGGAAATGCATTAAAATGTGGAGAGAGATGCTTACCTGTACACATTTTACTGTTTATTCTTTTAATTCCTTAATAGTAATAGCAGTGGTGCATGCACTGTTGTGTGAAGCCTTGCAATGCTTTACCTTCCAGGTGAGTGACCTGTCGTTCCACGATTCCCTGGCCACTTTCGTAGCCATCCTGATTGCCCGGCAGTGCTTTTCTCTGGAAGATGTGGTTCAGCATGTCGCACTGCCCTCTCTTCTTGCAGCTGGTAGGAAAATGCTGAGAGAAAAACTTAAAATGAAAAAAGTAGGACTCCTTAAGAAATCTCCATTGATGAAATAAGTAGAGTGTTCTGAGCTGCGCTTCTCTGTGGGGTGCCACCGTTGTGCCTTGCAGTGTGTGTCCCTGCCCTTAACGCTGAGTTAGAGCAGAGAACCCATGCTGGACGAGGGCTGTCAGAGTTGCTGACAGCATTTGTCCCCTTTTGTCACGCAGCCTCACCTTCTCCTTGCAGCTCTTTTCTGCTCTGCCCTATGTGCTCAGGTGTCTGCCAAATCTGCTCAGGTTGTGCATTTCCTTCTGGCTTCAGTTTGCCTGACGCTGGTGCTTTCTCTCTGACCTTGCTGTCTTTGCCTTCAGCCCTGGAGTACTGTAGCTGTGGTCCTCTTTGTTGATCACTTTACACATTTCTTTACATTTTCTGTTTCTTATTTCTGCTTTGACTGTCAAAAGCCATTTTAACCATGTATTCTTTTCTGCCATTTATTAAGTCTCTTGCTTACCAAAAATTGTACTATACTTTCCTGTTTTTTAATTACTCAAGGCCCCAAATGCTGCTTCCTGCTGATGAAATTATTGTATTCCCATTTAAAATGGGGCTGTGAGGTAGAATATTTCCAGGGCTGCCACTGGGACTCTTGAGGTCCTGGGCAGATGCCTTACGTCCACCTCCCATCTTCATAGCCTGTGGAGATCCGGATGCTGAGCCTGGGGCGAGGATAACCTGTCGGCTACTCCTGCACCTCTTCAGGACCCCCCAGGTCTGTCTCTTTCCCCAGGGATCAGGTAAGTTCCTGCTGCGTGGTCCTTTTGTTTCAGAAAGTGAACCCAGATGGGTTTTGGTGGCTTCAGTTTTCATGTCTGAAAATATCCATAGTGCAAGTAGAAATGACAGCCTGTTTAAAATACAGATGCTTTACTAGTGAAAAGCTGATATGTACTATTCTTACTTATTTGGGAAATGTTTTATGTGCATGTTAGGCCATAGAGGTTGGCTAAAACTTACTCATTATCAGCACTTGGTCACCCAGGTGTGGCATAATGTTGACATAAAACTCAGCCATATTAATATTTCATCTCAGAAAAAGAAAATTATGTTTTAATACAGCATCTGTGTACACTTCAGCAAATTCAGAAGAATTGTTCTGTCCTGATAGCTCTTATTTTGTTTTGGAATTTCAGTGAAACAATTGTGTGAGCCTGGGATGTATTAACACTGTTTTTGGCCAGTGCTGCTGTTGGCAGGGGTAGGACCTATTGGGGTCTCCACCTTCTTTGGCAATAAGGAATTATTATTATTATTATTAAGTAATGATTAATTGAAATTAATTGTCATTTTAAGTAGGGTATAATAAAGCATCTAGTCCAACAGAAGAAATACAAGGAAATTAGTTCTCAGGATATATTAATGTAGTTCTTTTTCCTTTTAAATTTGAATATTCTGTGGTCTGACCTGTGTGTGTTTGCCACAGACTAAAAGAGGAAAGAAAAGGGCAAGGAACAAGCATCTAACAATTAGAAAGAAACATGCCTGGTGATAACCTGTGTTTTGACATAAAAGTATTTCAGCAAATTTGATAATCTCATTTTCCCACAGAAATAGTCTTGTTGACAGAAAAAAATATTTCAGTTTTTGATTGGTGTCAAATTCTTATCTCTAAAAGTAATATTGCCTTCTTTTTTGAACCAGAAACAAATGAGCTTTTGCTGCATGTTTGAACAAAACAAGTAAGAGCTGTGAAGAATACTGTCTGAGTTACAGAAATGTGTTACAAGGTCCCAGGCTTCCTCAGAAATAAAGGTGGATTTGAAAGGAAAAAATGAGGTCTGATAGTCTGAACACTAGGAAGTAGTGCAAATTAAACAAAATGTGACCACGTTACAGACTTTTCATAGCAGGGCTCAACTAACCACCTCAGAAAGGTGGTAGATCCATCCTCCCTACCTTGCAGTCTGGTTATCTTCTTCTTCAAGGTAGAAAAAGCCCTTGCTGACTTGTTTTACTGTGTGCTTCCGAGCTGCAGAATTAGGCTTAACTGTGCCACAGACATTTATATTTATTAATTTTGCCCCATTTGTAGTGAAGACTACGTGAGGGAAATAATTTGCAAAATCTGTGAAGTCAAAACCAAAATACACTTCAGTGTCTCATTGTGGTTAAATTTGTTTACATGGACACAGTGAAATGACAGGCTCATTTTTCTATTTAAGTAATCTTCACTTATTTTGATATTAACATCATAACCATGTCTGCCAGTTGATTTTAATGACTTACCTGTTGGTCTCCAGTTTCAATTTCAGAGAATTCAGTTTTTCATTCGGTTGTTGTACTTCTATAGCTGTTCTAGATGAGAAGAGTTTTGTACAAAGGAAATTTTAGTTGGTAAATAACAACCATTTTCTACAAGATTTACTCTTCTTTCCACAGGGAAATTATTTCCTGGAATTCGTTCTTCTTGCGATCGTCACCTCTTGGCTGCTGCTCACAAAAGTATAGAAGTGGGAGCTGTGTTTGCAGTCTTAAAAGCAATTCTGATGCTTGGTAAGATTATGCAGAATAGTGCGTGATGCTTTTGTTCTAGTGGTCGTGCTAGTTTGCTTCCCTGGGAATGTTTCTGGGAAAGGAAAACCCTGATGACAGGGCAAAAACATGGATGCTGTCTGTGCTCCTGTAGCATGTGAGCAGCAGTTCACTGCAGGTCAAGAGACAGGATTTTCCTCTGGTGAGTCAGCCCCAGCTGATGAGGATTTTAGCAGATGTGACTTTTTCCCATTTTGACCACTACCCTCCCAACCATGTCCCAGTACTTCCCAAACTCGGGTGAGTACCTCTCAAATATAGAGAGGCAGGTATGGTTTAAAGAAGGTTTGTGTGCTGTTTATTTAGGAGTAACTGTGAAGCAGCACAGCACAGGCACTGGATGGTGGTTTTCGTGGCAGTAGCTCTGCTAAACCCTCATGGATTGAGGGTAACACAGTACCAGGGAACAGAGAATAAGGGATGGGAGAAGTTAGTGTGCAGGAGAGACCAGTGCACTGTGGTGTTTTGAGCACTCTGTGTAAATATGTAGTAGTCTGGGGATGTGGCCATAGCTGCTGAAGCACTGTCAGTTTCCTTGGTGCAGTAGTTTGAAGTATTTTGCTGGTAGTTTTGGATTTTAGCAAAAATTCCTGTGTATGACCAGAGGCCCTGGTGTGAATGTTTGTTTGGAGGAATGGCTGGCGCAAGCTGTTTAAGCCTTGTTACAGCATTTTAGGTGTTGAACTTGATAGTAAAGAGAGGGGTTTCCTAAGGGATTGTGCCCATATGTGGTGCATCCATTAAGATCCAAAGGAGTTTCTGCTGACTTAAAGCATTAGACTACATGGTGTGGTTGAATCTTCCTTATCTAAGGTCTCAGGGCCATAAACTTGTAAAATGTGAACTGGGTCTGATTTTTTGTTTGTTTGTTTGTTTTTGGGCTGCATCCAAAGTATTTTTTCCTTGTTTTTCTGTTCACCCCTGTTGGTTTTGGGTAGATAGTG